TCTCATCCCGGGAGAAACTGTACGGGGTATCGTTAAGTTTTCGGTAACAAGGTAGACGCATAACGGAGTATTACAAAGGCTCCTACCTATTTTTATTGAGTTTACTCACGGTCACAACCACATTAGTCGCGGAGCGCAGGACGAATTGGCATTTTATTTTTCCGTCTTCCGTGTCCACTCCGGGACTTGCGGTTGTCAGAAGTTACTGTACGTCAGTACGACACGTAGAAAAATATCGGTGTGGTGTAAACAAACGAAAACGAAGTCGGGACGACGGGTCTTCGTCAGGGAGGTGTTGCGCCGACAATTAATAACTGTAGAAGAGTTTCTCTTTCCGGCCTCCTATCTTTTTCATCGTTTGTCCTTCGTTTCGGCTTTTACACGGCTAGAAGGACTGAAGACGACCCTCTCGGACTAATCTCTCAAGAATAAGGCATATACGAAGCGGGAGATTCCGATAGCGATAAGCATTAGGGGGCGTGGGGCGCGTCGGTGACGTTTGTGAACGATTCGAGGTGCGGGGTGGGCGTTCCACCGGGGTGGGAGCGCGGAGGAAGGCCATATTTATCCTTCCACCGTCCGCTTATTGCGGAGTAACACCTGTCGTGACGTGTGTGGGAGGTGAGTAGGGAGACTCGCACATGTGCGGAGTACTACTGTCGGGCCTACGTTTGCGTCCACACGCTCCAAACGGAGCGTCGGGAAAGCGCGAGTGCCCGTCGCCGGGCCGCTCCCGATACCCGCGCACAGCGGGACAACAACACAACTCTCTCTAGTAGTCTTCTTTTTCGGTGAGACGCTCTCCTCCCCTTCTTCGAGTAGGAGTAAATGTGTAAGTCTCACGGGGCGAGTCAGACCGAAGTAAGGGTATATCACGTCGGAAGTCGATCGTAGGTCTACTCGTCGCGTAGTTGGCAGAGGACGACCGAAGTGGCGGGGGGGCATCGACGAGACCTCAGAAGGGTTGATGACCTTTGATCGAACTCAGGGGACGGCGGAAAGCCGGTCGGGGAGACGTAGACAGGGTAGTGGTCCGTTGAGGGTTAGAGTGGGCGTCGAGGTGTAGAGTGCTGAGTAAGACGACCGGTCTCAGGGGACTTTGGGTGGGGAAGGAGTTGGTCGTAGGGTAGGAATGCAGAGGCCATTCCGTTTACATGCGGTTAGGTAAAAAAAGCAATAAGTTTAATAATTTACGGTGAGTTTACAACAAACGAAAAAATGTCACTTGGAAACCAAAAGTAAGAGAAAGATACTGGATGTCAAATTTATTATAGGTAGGTGATAAGGAAAAAGATGCAGTATTTGTAAATTATCCTGAACGACACTAGAATAATGAAAAACAAACTAAAAGTGAGTGGTGAAAGTCGACAAGTCTTTTCTGACTTACTTCGCTCAAGAGGACGACATCCAGCGATATGTAGTCACCAATCTAGTACAGAGTACAGGGTAGTGTCACCTCTCGTAGGAAAATATTTAACAGAGTAGAAATAAAAAATTAAGGGTGATTTATTGACGATTTTTTCACAAATGTAAACGTTTTACTTTGAATATACACATACATTGTACATTCTTTACTTTTGTAGTTGTTGTATTAATTCTTTCATATTTATAACATTAGTGTTTACACTATTAAAGATTATTACTAATTTTTAGGACAAAGAAGTGTACTCTGAGATACGTTTGGTGAATCGGAACGTGTAGTGAGGTAAGGAGTTCGGTCGTTGAAGGCTGGGTCAGTGTTTCACACGCCGCTGGAAAGTAGGTTTTGGGTGAATGCTCTGTTCTGATCTGTGGTGGTGGGGTCCTTGGTCTGTCGTGGGGCGGGACGTTCGGCGTCGTTCGTCGGGGGGGGGGTCTGTCGTCCGAGGTGGTGGTGGTCGTGGTCGAAGGGGGGGTCTATGAGGTGGGACGAGTCGGAGACGTGGTCGCCGGGTACAGGGGGGGTTGTGAGTGGGGGTCCGACGAGAGGAGGTCGAGGGGTCTACGACGACCTCCTGTCTACTACTCGGTCTCAGATGGTGGGGAGACTTGGTTCATGTTAATATGGACGTCGTCAAGGTCGTTCGGCGTCGGGGTCGTCGGGGTCGTCAGGTACGTCAGGTGAAGTCCGCGTCCAGCAGTCGTCGTTGTTGTTGTCGTCGTCTCGTCGTTAGTCGTCGTCGTTGTCGTCGTTCGTCGTCGTCGTCGTGTCGTCGTATGTCGTCGTCGTCGTCGTCGTCGCGTCGGTCGTCGTCGTCTTCTTGTTGAAGTTGTTGTTGTTGTTTTGTTGGTTGTTGTCCGTCGTCGTTTGTTGCGCGTCGTTGTTGTAATGTTGTCGTCGTTGTTGTTAGTTGTCGTCGTCGTCGTTGGTTGTTGGTTGGTTGTTGGTCTGATCTAGAGAGAGGACGTCGGCACGGATCCCTGTCAGAGTCGAGGGGAGGGTCTGGGTGAGACGAGGGGCTGTGAGTGTAAGTCAGGGTCGCGTCGGATTGGGGAAGTGTAGTCGGGGCGGGGGTGTCTACGGGGAGGTGGGCGGGCGGTGTCGTCGTCGTCGTCGTTGTATGAATTGATGGTCGGTCCCAGGACTGAGCGACCAGTCAGGGTCCCAGTGTTGTGTTCATAGGTACGGGGGGTTGTTTCGTGGTCGTCTAGTAGGTCGGTCGTGTCGTCGTCGTCGGTCGTCGGGAGGGGAGCGGCGGGTTCGACTGGGATGTTGCGTTCCACTCACCTTCTTCTACTCTGATTTTACATTACATTCTCCCTCAGCCCTTCGTTTCTACCACAACCGACTGCAAATAATATTACGGAGAGGAAAGACACTGTCCAGTGTATTCCTGTTGGGGTTTGGTATAATCCCCCCCGCCCCCCCTGCCTGAAACGCCTCCATTGGACTCCTTTGTTTACTTTAGTAACATAGTGACATCACTATTTAACACTCTCGCTGCTACTGGCTAGCGCTCCAACAGATTGTAGGTGATAAGGGGCGGGACATCTCTAAGCAGTTGACCAATCACAACAGAGTCGGCCAGCCGACCAATCAGAGCAGACTACGCTCTGGTTTCAGACAGAGGGTGGAAAGAGGTGCTGCAGCACAGGCAGTATGAGAAAAATAAAGAGCTTTTTGAACATTAAAGCATGGAAACATGTCAGAGTAGAGACACTAAATATACTAAATATACATCTGTATTTTAAGAAATAAAACCTGAGCCTGCAGAAGCTTTCACAATAAACTTCTGAGAAACTGTACCCGAAGCTTCCTGTTCCCTACTGAGAAAAGTTTGAGCCAAAGCAAGAAGTGTGTTGCGAACATTTTAAAAGAAGTATGTGTGTGTTTTTATGAGAAACACACACAAATGGCAGTAAAAGGAAGTAGGAGCGCAGGGCGAGTCAGAGGAGCCAGAGCTCCCTCATGGAGCTGGGATGTGTCCGGGCTTGTTCTCAGCCGGTCTGTAAATGATTAGCAGGAAGTGGAGTTACATCCCAGACTGCAGGGCTTCAACGCTCCCACACATCAGCGTCTCACACACACTGACAATCAGGCATATTATCATAGTTGAGGCTTTTTGTTTAAATACAGATATCCTGCAATGTCAGACGTTCAGTCTTTGTTGTATTTTGGCGTCTATAAGCCTAGTTTATATTTCTGTGCACACTGAAGACAGTAGCATTATTGTGCCATGTCTGCAGACCCAAAACCAAACAACAAAAATCAGTTTGCATATGCATGGGTGTGCCTCAGCTTTGTGTGTACTTCTTAATAAATAACCCTTGTAGGTGATGTCACTTTTGGGAACTACCCAGCAGAGGAAGAGGAAGTGTAGAAGAGGAGTCGTCGAAACTCACTAAACCAACAGCTGCATGCTTTACAACCATGGCTTCAGAATAGTCTCGACATGACGGTTATTAAACCCCAGTGGGCAAAACAATATTTTCTCTATCAACCATTATTATATCTCAATAATGCACCTCAAACCTCAATGCAAAAAAGGACAACATTTGCCAAAAAAACACATACGTTTTCAATTTCAGGAATAAACAACATAGTACGGTCAGTGGAAAAACGCCATACTACATACATGTGTCGAAAATGTCAGGGAAAAAAACATAATATAGAATGTCGAAATGTAAAGACAAGTTTATAGTTGGTCATGTAGTATGTTGAAAATATCAGAAAGAATGTCTTAAATTTAAGAAAAATACCACATAGTATAGTTTGTCCAAAATATGCATAAAAACGTCCTACAGTATACCTCAAAATGCAAACATGCTCCACAATGACTCTTTTCATTCAGAACCTTTGGTCCATGGAGGTTTTGAAATCTGTAATATACGAAATGACTCGATGGTTTTCTGGCCCATTGTCCTTTATCCTCTGCTTATTCATTTGGTTGGTTTTATCTGGTACACAAGATGCTATTTGCATTGTTATTATTTTGGTCATCTCAAACAAGTGTGTTCTTTCCCAGACTTAGTGGTGTTGAAGTGCATCCCCTATGCACCCCGAAGTTGTTAAAAAAGTACAACACTTATTTCTGAATCCGTGTTAAAGCCTCAATGAATCTGCCGTATACCAGTGTGTTAAAGCTTTTCTTTATGGTCCTTCCTCAGTGTTGAGTGCCCAGGATGTCTTCGAAGGCGCACAGCTCCAACAGCATCGCCCACGCCCGGCGGACGGTGCAGCAGCTGAGGATAGAGGCGAGCATCGAGAGGATAAAGGTGCAACAATCTCCCTATTCTAGAGTCACTTTCAGCTCATTTCTGTCATTTCCTCCCTTCTTGCATACTACTATGCTAAATGCTACTTGTTCGTTCAAATATCACTCACTTTCAAACAAATAATATACAAATAATTACCAAAGGAACGATGAACATTTCTTAAAAAGAATGAACCATGTGGCAGATGTAGGGAAGGTCTTGGTTCTAATTGGCTGTCCCTGCTCTGAGCATTTTGGTATATATCGCGTAAAATAAGATCTGTAGCAAACACATCTTAGCACGTTTTGTCCAGCAGGATAATCACCACATATTAACACCACTTTTTCAAGTATAGATGCGACCTCCAGAAGTAAAAAGCAAACTTTAGGCTATAAAGGAAGTGCATCACGGTCACATGACTTCACTTAAAGTCACTACCGCTAAGCTAATCGCTGCTAATGTTTGGCCTGATGACATTTAGTCGTTTATTTACTCCTTATTCATCAAGACATAGAATCTATTGACATCAACCAGTACAATATTGACTGACAAGTTTTATCTTATATAACAAACGTTAAGATCTGGTAAGCTTTTTTTTTTTCTTTTTTTTTTTCTTTTCTTTTTATAAACAAACAGCCAGACCTGGTAAGCTTGAGTTAACCACAGACCCATCCAAAAAAACCTTGACTTTGAGAAGAGGGAACCAGAAGCGCTAAAATGCTAACTCAGTTCCAGGTTTTAGGACTCATTCCACACCACTCTTCTTGGGTTGGGTTCTTAACTCTTTCTCCCTGTGTTTGTGCAGGTCTCCAAGGCCTCTGCAGACCTCATGAACTACTGCAGTGAGCATGCCAGAAACGACCCCCTCCTCATGGGCATCCCCACCTCAGACAATCCCTTCAAGGACAAAAAAACCTGCACTATATTGTAGTGGATGCCACTTAGCATGTATGTGTTTTATTGTGCTTATTAATGTCGCTGTACTCTTTTGTTGGGATAAGTGCGGGGGGGATGGTATCATTACGTTCACATCTTCTCTGAGCAGGGTGTGAGCTCCACTAACAGGAAGACTTTGCTGCATAAATTAGCGTCCTCCTCAGTGATGCGTTTGATTCTTCTTAATGTGTGTAAACATGTCTCCTATTCATTCGACAGTGACTGTTTCTGTCTCTCTGATTTGCCTTAATGTATTCATACAGCCAAAGCTTCCCTTCAGAATCTTAAATACTTTTTAATTCAAGGCGAGACACAAACATTTCTCATGCTCTTGTCAATTTCTGATAGTTTTTCTCTATCATGTATCTTTTTAAAACATTCAAAATACACATTAAGATAATTATTTTACCCTTTTTGAGTATGTGGATTTCTCCTAAATTCACCCAAAGTTAGCATTTGATTACGTCATTATTTTTGGCATATTTCTACATACACTTTTTGTTTAATGCAAAATACAATTGTCTTATTGTATGTGAATATTTGAGGAAGTCTCATACTGATATATATTAGTTTTCTAGATATTACTGCCTGAAAAGCCTGCTAGCATTCCAACACATTGTAAGTGATAGTCTAATAGGCCATCTCTAAGAGGTTGACCAATCATTCATAGCCTGATTTATATCAATTGTTATTCCTAAAAGCGTTGTTAAAAACATTTTTTTAATACAAAGAGAAATCCAAAATTCCCAGTAAAAAAATCTTGAATTTTGAATGGCTGGCTTTATCAAAGGCTATTTGCATATTTCACATAGAATTTCGAAACAATCCACCTGTAGTGTCTCGCCTTAAATGAATAATAATGGTTCAGACTTCCCATCAGTGTTTTAGAGATGATGTGCAGTTTAGCCGTTATTCAAATGTTACCATGAAGTATCTTTGATTAATGACAGTGCTAGTAACACTCAGTATTCTGCATCGTGGCTCTGACTGGCCACGATAATCCACATGCTGTTTAACCCCCCATCTTCCTAACAGTTGCAGTATGCACCATGATACAGTGTTGTCTTAAACTGAGTTAATGACCATTCTGAGAGATTCATTCCACATCAACATCTTCAATCCAAGAACATCTGCTCAGATTCAAACCATTGGGATGATATGACTGTGTTGTCAGCTGCACAATATGGGGTGAATGAAGCAACAATGAAAAAGCTTGCGCACATTCTTTTATAATTTTGTAATGAAGACCCCTGAGAACCAAGCCAAACCAATGGTACTGCATTTAAAAAAACGAGTGGTGCATTAATGAGTACTAAAACCTTAGCATGGTGATGCGCAGTCATACCATAGCAACCCAGTCTCACGGCATTTCGTGTTATAGTCACGAAATTAATCTAGTGATTCGTGTTCAACAACACGATTTCCGCATTTTTTTCGTGTCACACAGAACGATTTTAAAAGCAATGTAAATAATAACAAATTGGAAGGAAAAAAAGATTTTAAAAATACAGATTTCAGTATTCTCAGGCTCTTAGCCCCATTTATTTTCCTCGCGGACGGTGTATTTTTAAAATCTTTTTTTCCTTCCAATTTGTTATTATTTACATTGCNCGCCACTAACCACGCTCCAACCCGCATAACGCTATCCTCCAACCCGAAGACTTACTCGGCCTACGTCGCCCCTTCCCCCCCACACGCAAACCTACCGGTCGTCCAGACACTCCCAATCCCCCCGGACCAACAACTCCCGAAACATTCAATACTCCTCTGAAACTTTCACCTAAACAACTGCTGCCCCTCGGTCGACCCTCGCAAGAACGGTTCCTGCCCTCCATACAGCCGAGCGCCGGGAGAGTCTCGCGCCCACACCCACCTCCTCCGCCCGTCGTCTCAAGACCTATACCAACCTCCAAATAACTCCTCAACCTACCCCATACGGTAATCTCCTACGGATAACGTCATCCATCTCACGGCGACTTCGACTACTTACGTACTAGTTCCTAAGTCGTCGTCCCTCCTCCTCTCGACCTACCCGCGCCCTGCCCGTTACAAAACTCCACCTTTTTCCGCCCAGGACTCCGACTATCACTAAATACACCACCGACTTAAACTCCGGCCTGACAGCTTTCTGAGGCCTCAACGCCTACACTCCCCCCGCCTGCTATCTCACAAACCGACGAGTTACTCACTTCCAACTTTAAGACCTACAGAACTTAATGCCCTACCCCTCCCGCGTACTACCTACAAGACTAAACCGTGAAAAGTCAACCTCTTATCAAACAAACGTAGGTACGAAATAAGACTCTCGTGTCAACCGATCTCCCTCACCTCACACAACACCCGCTCCACTACGCAAAAAACAAATCTATATTTCAACCGCAGTAGCCGCAATTCGTCACTTTAACTTCCGAACACCGGCCTGTTTAATAAAACTGTTCCCCCCTCGTACATTTCCTACTTTCTCCTCCCTACCGGTTCGTGGTTTGGGACCCGTGCGGATCACGCGCTGTCTCCTCGTCACCGTCCTCCCACGTCCAACAACTACCAATTTGACCTACAGACAGGCCACTCTCCTAAAGTCGGGTCCTCCCCTGCCCTCACGCACAGTCACTACCAACTGACTACTAAGCTCCTGCGCGCTGTCGTCCTTACCACACCCAACCTAACCACTAGTTTACGACGGCCAACCTCCTCCTACCTCTACAAGTCCAACGGCCTCAGTTCCTCCTCTCCTGCCTCAGCAAACACTAAAAGTCTTCTCGGAAAAGACCGATACAAAACCTAGCCGGTTGGCCTAAACTTTACGCCGAGTTTCTCCAGTAAACCACGGACTCCACCCTAAAATCAACGACTCCGGTTACGTCTGCAAGTTCATAAAACTGTCTTTCCCCTCTAACTCTACCCCCGGCCTTCAACCTGGTCTACAGTACCACACTCAGGTCAGAAAATCTTACCCACACTGTCGTCGGTCAAATCTCTCCCCCTTGACAGGTCTAGACTCCTCCTCAAATTCTACCACCGCTACTCGACCCTCTACCGTCCCTCCGGAGAAATTGTTAAAAGACCTCCCGTAACCCAGTCACACGTCACTCAATTAGGTCAGTACTTCACCCTGTCAAGTACCCCAGTGTCCCCTCTTCACCCTGGCCTGTCCCGCAACTCACCTTCCTCGGTCCTTCCTCCACCCCACGACTCTCAATACAGTCTAACGACCATCTTACAACCGACTAAAACACCTTACAGAGCCTTCTCCGTCGCTGCCCCCTCCCTCTGGAACTCACTCCCACAACCCATCAGAGACTGCACCGACCTCACCACCTTCAAAAAACTCACAAACACTCACCTCTTCAATCTGGCTTTTCATGTGTGATTGTTTTTGTATTATTTGACTTTAACGATATATTTATTTGTTGTTCCTTTCTTCTCTTTTCTTTTCTCTTCACTATTATCTGTAAAGCGTCTTTGAGCACCTGTAAAAGCGCTAACAAATTAAATCTATTATTACTATTATTATTATTATAATATCTTGACTGTATTGCAAAATCAGACAAAATAATTGCCATTTTTCCAAATCTTGCTGCCATAGTGTGCAAAGAAAGCTTTGTTTTGTTTAATACAAACATACAGTGGGTAATTTTAAGAGATGTGTGACTGACCTGTATATAGGATCCTGCATGATCAGCATCTTGCTCTCATCCCATGTCCATTCTTTCCTCTTTGTGTGAGATGGATGGTTGTGACAAAGCATCAATAAAACATCAGAACAAGACATATTCATGTATTATCATTCATATGTATTGGTGTGTAAAAACAATATTTTTAGAAACTAATTTAGAGCTGAAATATTTTCTTCTTTGCTCAGCCTAACTGATTACTTTCTTAAATCAAGTGGAAAACAGTTCTATGTTATTCCTCTTCGTTGTTCACAGGTGACTTACCTTCTGTTTCTTCCTCAGTAACACCTTCACCCCGTCCACAGACACCACAATGCTGACCTTCTTCTTCTTGATGTTCTTGGCCTTGAATTCATACTAAAAAAAGAGACAAAAAGGAATAACATAAGGATAGCAGTATTACCTATTAACAGTATGTTATCTTCACTGTATGAAACAAGTCAAAACATAAATATTATTTGAGTGCAACAGGTAGCACAGTTTGAGATAAACTGCACTACAGTAAATGTAGCTTTCATACTGTAGTTTTGTTAATTTGATGGAGTATATTTGGTTCCAAATAACTGAACAAAAGTCCAAAAAGTTTCAAAACCTTTAACTTTACTGCAACCAATAAGTATATTTATAATAATGTATTGTTTTAAATACTTTGTTGACCAAATGCCCATCAAAGGCTCCCACAGCCCAACAATACTTATTTAAAACGCTTGTTTGAACCAGTAATTAACCAAAATATATTCTTTATAGCGTTCTAAAAACACAAAAAGCAACAAATACTAACACTTGAAAGTCCAACACCAGCACAATTTAAGACAATGTATGATTACACATCATAAATTATCCAAATTGTTGCCCACTTAAAGTGGACCTATCATGCTATATTCGAATAATATAGTGTAGGACCATACCTATATAAAGGCATATTTATACTTTTTATTTTTCAAAATACCAAACAGATCATGCATTTTAGCCATTCCTCATTTCGCTCAATTTAACACTGTCTTTGCATGGGCTGGTTCTGTGAGAACAGCACCATCTACAGGCCTGGCATATGTACTACAGCGTCTCCAGCGCTTTCGAACGGCAATGTCCGTGGCTGTCTCCTCCTGATTGGTGGAGTTGGCCCAATAGTCGTTTTGCCACTTCTGTGACGTCATAGAAGTGTTCAAATCTGGATCAGTCTGTATCAGATCCGTTGCAGCCCCTTTTTTAAGAGATTTGGGTATGGAGAAAAATAGAGAGCGTTGTGTTTTCTGACACTTGGTGAGTTCCCTGGAACACCGGGGACACATATTCATGTAGAAAAGACGTACAAAAGTGCATTTTGCATGATATGTCCCCTTTAAGTATTAGTTGTTTCACCTGTACATGCACCACTCAACCCTTTCGACTTCTTTCTTGCAATGAGCGTGTATGTCCTGAATTATGGCATAATTGGGATCAATTTGAAAGTATTATTATAACAGGATCTGTAGTGCACTTTAATATATCAGCATCTTTACTAGCTTGGCAGCTCACTATAGCAGCACTGATAAGTCTTTTGAGATTGGGAACAAAGCCAACTGAAAGAAAGTCTCCTCTGCAGTGAGAGGACATTTTGATGGATCACCTAACTTCACCTTGACTGTCACGAAAAACGGTATCAACATGTCAAAATACTACATTTATCCTTTCAAATGTTCTAGACTACTACCTGTCACATGGCTTGTCATTAGAAAGTGTTAGAGAAATGTTCATGTGGCCACATCTCTGCCTGACAGGAAAACAGAACATCTACCAGCTAAATTAACACTAAGGTAAAGGATGTGAGTTTGTCTCCACTCTGTTCTGCTGAGGGTTTCACAGCAGCTGTGTCGGCACGGGGAGACTAACATGTTTCCACCTCGTCAGCTGGCCAGCCTTCTGCAGAGGAACTTAGGAAGTCTGGCCTGTCGAATCAAATCACCGTCACTGTTAAACAAGAAGCATGGTTCCACACTCTTTAACAACAGGCATCCACCGTGTGACAAAATGCAGGTGTTCGACAAAAAACTGGTTTCATACAGCTTACAAAGTCGATGAAAAACGACAAACTGCAATGGAAAACAGCTCTCTGGCTTTTAACGCACGTGGAAATGATCAGTTGACATTGTTGAAAAGAAGGAAGCTGATTTGTTTTCTTGTCACACATTTTGTGAAAAGAGTGTGACTCATGGCTTTCTACGTGTAACATTTAATTTATATTTCAAAAGGTTCATTATTACAGCCACATGTTAATATAGAGCATTAGTGGACATATTTAATGTTGTACTCCAACTGCAGCCATGTGAATAAGTGTAAAAGTGTAGGAGTACGTTGTTTAAAATGCAAGGGTAAAATAAATGTTAGTGGAAACAAGGAAAGGGTAAGAGAATGAAACATTGAAGATGAGAGGAGAGGTGAGTGGATAGGAGGAGACAGCTGTTGTTACGTAAGGACATCCTGCAAACTGTGACCTTTAAATCAAGCTGCACAATGCTGCCAGGGAACAATTAACTAAACATTATGAACAAGTCAAGACCTCACAGACATGATCATGGAGTAGTTTGGTTTGTATTTGTCTTTTATGTATGCAAGCTAAGTCCTCACTGTGTGAGTGTGTGCAAAGACTCACAGGAAATAAGTGTTATGCTCTAAAAGGAAGCTTTTTGGTCAAATCCGTTTTCCACACTTTCTTCAGGCTAATTTCCTGCTTGTGTGTCTATTTGAAATGCCCTGCTCTCGCTGCCCTGGATCCATGGTGATTAAAGTTGCAGTCTCTAATTATACAGAAGCGAATCCTGGGAGAGCTGATTAAATGGAGAATAGG